TTTTTTAAGATGGTGTCTCACTATATTACCCAGGCTGGTTTCGGACTTGGGCTTAAGGGGGACTACAGATGTGTGCCACTATGCCTGGCTAATTTTTTTTCTATATATTTTTAGCTGTCCAATTAGTTTCTTTCTATTTTTGGTAGAGACGGGGTCTCACTCTTGCTTAGGCTGGTCTCGGACTCCTGAGCTCAAACAATCCACCCGCCTCGGCCTCCCAGAGTGCTAGGATTACAGGCGTGAGCCACCGCGCCCGGCCTAGCCGGCTTATTAAACTAGAAAATTCACCTCCCTGAGTCCTTTCGGCTAGGTAGTATGATTTATAATGATTTTTGACCACCTAAGCGCCATGGGAGCAGAGCAGACTTTGCATTCTCTCCCTAGGTCTGCACTTTTTTAAGCTTACATCTTGTGACTGTTCAGGTGCAGGTTGAGAAGACAGCATCTCATCCCCTCTTCTTGAACTAATCATTGATTGCAGAGCCAGCTCTTCAACCTAGAAAAGAAGAGTTGAGGATGCTGTCCTTACTATTTCACTGGGCTACTGATGGGGGTCAACTGCTGGGCATGCTGTAAAGGCTGGCATCACGAGAGGGAGTGAAAACAGTATCTCTCTGCTGCTCTAGAGGGAAGGGGAAACTGGGCTCTTAAGCTTTCTCTGCCTTTTAAGGAGATGAGCAAAGAAAGATTCCAGCCCCTTTCCCCTGGGCTGTAGGTGTTCTGGCCAAGCCATGGCTTTCACTCCCCCACACCCCCAGACTTAGTAGCTGGGGGAGAAAACACAAGTGTGCCATTTAAAAAACCAGGTGTCATCTTCTGACTCCACAGAGGGCTGGATCCCTAGGCCTGAGTTTATGTACTCAGTAATGAGAACGGGACGGCAGCAAGAAAAGAAAATGGAGATGTTTCCTGAAGCATAAGGAAGCTTTGGAGGTGGTTATCAACACACACTCAGTAGGTACTTGTAGGGGTACTATGGCAATATAGGGACATAAGTAAGTGTGGGCCATTATAACTGACCTGATGGAAAATGCTTATTATTTTGATATATCACAGCTGTACGACGTTAGTTTACAAAGGAATTTCGTAATCCTCATCTCATACGGACTTAGATCATGATCATCTCGCAGGGACCAAAGCAAGCACAGGTCTGGGAAGTGGCCCTAGTGGGCCTAAATCACTACTCCTCCTCAAGGTCTGGAGTCAGTAGCAGAAGAGCTGCTGAGAACTCCTAGGCTTTGGGGCAGGTCTGTATTCCCAGGGCTTCGGTGTCTTCCCTTCCCGCCGCAGGAGGATGTGAGAGTCCTTTCTAATTTTGCAATACTATAGCCATTTCAAGCGCCAATACAAACTAGTAAACAGTAGCTCAAGAGGGGGCTCAGGAGGAAGAGGCCGGTGGGCAGGGAGGGTCTAGCAGAGCCTTTGGGAGGGGGCACTTGCTCAGTGTGCGGTCTGTGGGCCATCGGCAATTACGGGGAAGGTGGGGTGGGTGGGATGCGACTGTACTTGCCAGATTCCCGGGCCTCTGCCTAGACCGGCAGGATCAAGATTCTAAGACGGGTGGCCCCTAATAATCGCAAAGCAAACTCGTCAGGTGCTTCAGGCACAGGAGTTTGTAAACCAGCAGATCAGCGCCAGGCGAGGAAGCGAACTGGCAGCAGCAGGTAGGCGCCGTAGAGGCCCGCGTTCGGGAGAGATGGTCGCGCGGGAGGAATGGAAGGACGGGTGGGGACCACGGAGTCACCTTGAGGCGGTTGAGCTGGTCGTGCAGGGCCGCTTTCAGCCGCAGCAACGTTTCCTCCTCCTTGCGCAGCTCCTGAAGCCGGCTCAGCATCGTCCCTCGTCACGCCGCCGCCCTCACCTCCTCGCGGCCATCCGCCGGGCGCTCAGTGATGACGCCATCACCGCTGGCCCCACCCCCCGGAAACCGAGCCGGGGAGGGCGGGGCTGGCGGCCATGTTGGGGAAGAGCGGTGGGTGCGCTTCCTTCCGGTGCCCGATGTCGCCTCGCAGCCCCGCGAGGGCTCCCAGCCTTGGCAAGTGACTAAACGTCTCGATTGGTAATGCTCAGGATTCCCAACGCACAAGACGTTGGAACCGTAAACGTGGAGATGTCTTGGCTTTGGACAAGTTAGCCCTATAATTCACTTCCGCACAGTAAAGGTGGTCAGACGTCGATTCTCAAATGACTCAGGTTAGCAGTACTCGCTGCATCACACACCTGACGTGGTGTTCCACGTGGCTACCTCTTACATACTCGACACCTGCAGGTATATTTGAAGGCGGGGACCCAAACCACCAGCATCTAGTACAAAGCTGAGGCGCAGGATCCCGCCTGTGTTAAAGGGGGTTGTGCAGGCTAGAATTCCTAGTGGGCCCTAAAGGGGTAAGGTAGCGCAAACCAAGGAACTAAAACTAAAGAGCATGAAGATAAAGTAGTGTTAAAAGAAATTGCAACAGGAAATGGCGTCCTTATAGGCCCAGAAACAGATTTGGTTCCGGAGATAGGGATTATAGATCACCTTAGCTGCAAACTTTTTTTGAGACAGTCTTGCTCTGTTGCCTGGGGCTAGAGTGCTGTGGCCTCAGCCTAGCTCACAGCAACCTCAAACTCCTGGGCTCAGACAATCCTACTGCCTCAGCCTCCCGAGTAGCTGGGACTACAGCCATGTGCCACCATGCCCAGCTAATGTTTTTTATGTATTTTTAGTTGTCCAGCCAAATTCTATTTTTAGTAGAGATGGGGGTCTCACTCTTGCTCAGGCTGGGTTTGAACTCCTGACCTTGAGGATCCTCCCACCTTGGCCTCCTAGAGTGTTAGGATTCAGGCATGAGCCACTGTGCCCACCTGACCTTGGTTGTAAACTTTAAAGAGATAGCCAATGGGTAGCTATTTTAACAATCCAGACACAAAACAAGTCGCTGACAGGAGACAGAGCAGGGGAAGTTAATTCTGGGGCAGTGAGACATCAGTTTACAAGCTTGGTGGGATGGGGATAGGGGTGAACCCACTGTAAAGCAGTTTTGAATAACTGTGTAAAAAACTAAAACATGCACGTGGTTTAAAAAAAAATGCTAGCTGAGAGGGTGGCAAGCATTTCCTCCAACTGTATTGTCACAGCTCATTAAACAAGACTTTTCAGGGCCAATTTTACTGTAGTATCCCCCAACTTCCATTCTACAATTGTGCCCTCTTACTTAGTGTCAAACCTTAATCCATTTCCATTTTGGAGACTAAACCTTAACAGCCTGTATACATGTTTTCCAAAACATGTTCATTTACAAAATGGATATTATCAGAACTAAAAAAAAAATTCCCTCTTCCATTCCACTGCATGGATTTAGTATAAATCCAAGGCTTCATTTTATACCAGGCTATAAAATGGTACAAATTAAAGGCTGGAATTTTAGAGAACATAAGTATTAAAAATTCTAACCAGATTCACAACACACCCAAGCCATGTTTCTCACTGCCTCTTTGATTAGGTCTTTATTCAAAATAAGCTGTCCAAAATGATTTGACCTTTGTGGAATAAACAAATTTAAGAGTTTATGCAGTAGGCTTCTTTTCTTCTGTGGCAGGTTTCTTTTCTGCTGGTCTCTTTTCAGCTACTGGTTTCTTTTCAGCTGCTGGTTTCTTTTCAGCTGCTGGTTTCTTGGTAGACGCAGCCTTTTTTCCCACCAAAGGCTTTTTCTGCTTCTTAACACCAACAGGCTTTTTTCCTTTCTTCGCTACTATAGGCTTCTTGCCTGCAACCCCTTTCTCATCTGATTTGGCCCGTAGTGCTGCAGCTGCCTTATCCACCCGAAGTTTGTGCTGCAACAAATTAGGCAGAATTGTTAAGAATCAAATCCAAGAAGTTAATATATTGGCAAAAAATAAATTATCACTTACATTTCTGGCCTGGCGAAGAATGGTATTCCGGCGCATGGTCTTTGCATACGGGTTTAGCTTCAACATGATTCTCAGATTTTTCAGTGGATTCTTCTTCAGGACTCTGCGATGAATCTTCTTGCTACACATAAAAAGGTAGACACTGTATCAACATTTTTACACATACACATTTTTGAAATGAAATAACTACTAGTGTTATGGTTGGGGCAAGAGTTACACTATAAATATCAACTTTACCGTGGTGCTCGAAGAGCTCTTTGGATCTCTGGGCTTTTCAAGATTCTGCTAAGGTCTGTGTTCATCATCTTGTGCATGGGAAGGCTGAAAGAAAAAGGTCGACAATGGTTGCCTAAATTCCCATTTCTCATATATTTAATTCATGAATATGTACCTCAACAGAAGCTTTAAAGGATTCCAGAATTCAATCATAATTTCCACTACACTATCATTTCACATAAACATGCACCCAATGAGGTAGTGTATTTCACCATTTCATCCTCTTTCATCTACACATAAGGGGAAACAGGAATGAAATAAACCCATTATTTCGAAAACATGCACACCAATTCTGAATGCAAATATCCACAGTATAAACGTGTTTTCAAGACACAAAAAAACACTCACTTGTAGTTACTCTTGAGGGAAGCAGCTTTACACCAAGTGCCATATAATTCATCTAACTTCCGGAAAGCACTTTCAGTCCAAATGCAGAAACGTCCCACATGTCCACCAGGAGCAAGTTTCAAAATGTTCAGCTTGCTTACATTAAGCAGAGTAATTCCTTTTGAAGGGAAAGGAGAATCAGGGAGCCTGTATTTCAACAAATTATCTCTTTGGCTTATGTGCTACATAAAGTACCTGAGATCTATCTTATTAACTGATGTTTCAATCATCTGTGGTGTAACTTATTCAGCCATGAATCAGAACTTCCACAAAATCATCTGTTTCAGAAACACGGACCATGAAGTGGAATCTCATCATAAAAGCTGACTAAGCTTGCAGAGAATAGCCAATCAAACATGTAAGCAGTATAATTACCCGGAATGTTCCTGAAAGCCTTGATGATACCATTGTCCTCATTGTAGATGATACAGGGTCCCCTGCGCTGGATACGGCGACGGTTTCTCATTTTGCCCTTGCCAGCCCTCATTCGTTGAGAGGCATAGACCTATAAATTGAACAGTTTTAGTATTCTGATTAAGATATGATTTCTGCAACAGATCTTCATAGTTTAAAAAAATCCCACTTTACCAATGAAATTGGGGGCACGGATAACTTGCCCATGGTAACAGAGAGCCATAAAGACAGTCAGGATTCAAACCCACATGATCTGGGCTCCAAAGTCCTTTCTGTCTTGTACACTAAGACTTAGGTATCCTACCCTTCATACGTCAATTTTTAAATTCAAAATGACAAGAAATTTGTATGGACCAAGGATCACCAAACTGTAAATGCGCTCGCATCAAACCTACCTTTTTGATATCATTCCAGGCCTTAAGTTTCTTAAGAAGTAAAACAGCTTCTTTGGTCTTCTTGTAGCCTTCAACTTTATCTTCAACCACCAAAGGAAGTTCAGGAACTTCCTCAATACGATGACCTAATAAAGCCAATTCAATAGTTACCTGGTTACCCTGAAACCCTCTGAAAACTTAAGAGACATTTTATATAACCCACAAAAGCACAATGGTATACAATTTGCCAAATCAGAATTTCCAAATATCATGTGTTTCAGAAACATGGACCAATGAAGTGGAATCTCATCATTCTGACAGTTAAATAAAAATGCAGTGAACATGATGAGTATTTTAAAGCAGAGAGTTTTCTAATTAATTATATACTACACACCACTCTTTGAAGAATTACTTAGTAAACGGGAAATTTAATAAGACACCCTGGACAAACAGAACTTAGCAATAAACAAAAAGTTTCAGGTGAAAAAGGGTATTTTGCACCGCTCACAATACAGAACATTACAAACCTTTAGACATGACCAGTGCTGGTAAGGCCGAAGCAGCCAGGGCAGAGCAGATGGCATATCGCTTTTGGGTTGTGTTCACTCTACGGTGCCAGCGACGCCAGGTCTTGGTTGGTGCAAACATGCGGCCCCCACGACACATCTGTTTTCTCAGTTAAGAATCGTATTTCTCACATTTGAAGAATTAAAAGATTATGTCTTGCTCAGTAAAAATTTTCGTCAACCTTCTGTACCAGCTTACTGACAGCAGGCAACTGTCGCTGAGAACAGGGTAAGACGCAAATTACGACATCATTGCAAGCAAAACTTCCCCTTCAGAACAGACCTCCTCCTCCAAGAATAAATGCATGATAGAAAATAAACACCATCCAGATTCCAAATCTGTTAAGTGGGACACTATTAGTATTACGAACTCAAATATTTTCAAGCTACGTTAATGTAGATAAACCAAGTCCAGTATGCTAAATTCCATGGGCTGACCAGTCTCAGTAAAACAAAGGATACATTTCCAAAAGCACCCTGGCCAGAACGGTGAGTCCCACCACCTCGAACTCTGGGAATTCTAGCCACAGCTCTGCCAGTACCCCAAGACTCAGCACTGGTCTGATGACCTAAAATTGGAAATAAGTAAGAATTTTAGTTATGTCATCATACCAAAACATGATTATTACCCACAGTAGCAAACAGCATCAGAACATCCAAGAAAATCATGTGGTTCAGAAACACGGACCAATGAAGTGGAATTTCATCACTACTGTAAAGCAGCCCCTAAAATATCAACGTGTAGGAAGATATAAATCTTTACCTGCTAATTCACTGACAGCATAGGGCTGTCTGTTGTTTTTGCGCAAGTTGGTGTGAACGAAGTTCACAATATCTGGTCGAATGGGAGCCTTGAAGACGGCAGGCAAAGTAACATTTTTGCCAGATGACTCCCCCTTTTCAGAGTACACCGATATCAGTGGACGAGCACAAGCCTTGGAAAAAAAG